AGTTAGTGACATGATTATCAAACATTTACAAAAAAAATGTATTTTTTCCCAATAAAATATTTTGGAATTCCCGCAAAATGCGGAATACGTATTATTAACAACGTAATCGTAACAAACTGTTTGATTTATCAATAAAATATTTGTTCACAAGTATTGTCGATAAACCATGTTATGCAAGTTGTAAAAACAGTGAATTCGATCACATGTTCTTCCGCTCCAACATAGAGTTCTTGAAAGAATTGAATTCAGAATACGGTGGCGTAGTATATTTCAGTCAAGTCAGAAGGAAAATGTTTATAAAGATTTTATGAGTTACGTCATGAAATTGATTTGTTTATGAATGAAAAGCAAAAATCAGTATTAGAATTAAGTAATGATGAATGGTTATCGGATTTACCTTTTTTTAGTAGATATTATCAAAAAACTCAACCAATTAAATATATCATTACAGGGAAATAATAATTCAATAATTGACTCATTCAATAACATCAATGCATTTCAGAAGAAAATATTTGTATTTGAATTTCAATTAAAAAATAATAAAGTTCAACATTTCCCATTGCTAAACGAATTGGAAATTTGAAAAAATATATATATATATATATCAATAACATTAAATATGTAAAAGAAATAAGGAAACTTACAGCTGTTTTTGAAAGTCGTTTCACTAATTTAGACAAATACAAGAAAATATTTGAAATATATTCATCTCCTTTTCATACTAATTTCAAGTCGGCCCCAGAAGATCTTCAAATGGAACTCATTGACTTACAATACAATAATGAATTAAACCGCATTTTTGAAACATCAAAGTCAAAAATAGATTTTTATAACATTAATATCACAAAAGAATTTGGGACAAAAAGTTGTATGTGCTTTTGAATTGACTTTCATATGTGAACCGTTTTTTCGAAAATTAAATTCGCCAAAGATAAATCACGCTCAAACCTAACAGGTGAAAACCTTCAATATCAATTACGACATGCAAATATAATCATTTCTGTTAATTTTCAAAAGCTCAGTGAACTAATAAACTAAAGCATACATAGCGATTTATCGGACGGTACACACGTCCATGATTTTATCGTAGTTACGGTCCCGTCATCAATATGCAAAATGTACGGACGTCGATAACGGATGGACGTAATCGTTTGAAACGATTACGGACTCACGGTATTGTTTTCGAAACATTAAAATTTTTAGCTTAAAATCCCTCTTACTTTCCACTATTAGAACAGTATAAACATTAACGAGTATCATTATGTCACTATAAATATATATGAATTTAATTGATTTCTGTTTACTTTTATATTGAATATGTAAGAACTTTTTATTTGTTTTCCTAATTAAATATATTCCTATTAAATGAAAGTATCAAATAATCAGTTAAGTCGTGACAAATGATTTTTAGATTAAAATTCTTAATTGTAAAATATTATCAATTATAATTTATTATAATTTATGTATATATAATAACCGATTATAATTTATCAAGGTTGAGCAAGTTAATGATATTTTTTACCACATTTAAGTTAAGTTTATTGAGTTCATGTTCTATTAAATTAAAAATGAAGTTAACTTTTAACTTATTAACTCGTTAATTACCAGGCTTGTAATTTATTAGCTGATAATAACCTATCATAATTTTTGTACAAAAAATTACTTTTATAATCGATTATAACCAGTTTAATTTTCTATACATAAATTATATGAAAATAAAATAATCACACAGCCCTAATTGGAAGTGATTTTCTAAACACATTTGAATTCGGCATAAAGTTTACTTGAGATCGATTTAGCCACTTTTTTAGATTTATACTATCAACTTTCATAAATTGAATTTCAATAACATGAAAATGTTTAAATATTGTATTCTTTGTTTAGTGTAAACGTTTAGTATAAAATAAAACTTTGATTTGATCGGTCTATAGTAGAGTCTATGCAGATATTGATTTTGTTTTTTGTTTTGAAAATCCTCATCATTCCAATTCATCAGTCATAATGATGGATAAAAAGTTTTTTTTTTTTTTTGCTACATTGCATTTGCGAAAGACAAAGTGAACGCATATCAGTATCGAATCTCCGAGATCTCTTGAAAGCTGGTCGTTTGTAAGAGCATGTGAATTTAGAGCGACAAGATAAAGAAGAAAATAAAAATACACTACCAGAAGCCGGTTATTGACAATAAAGTTTGAATTATCAGTTTGCTCAAATTCGTGTTTTATAAAAAAATCATTTTTATTCAATTTCCTTTGCTAAAAACATCACAGTTAAAGCGCATTTTGAGAAAAAATAAAATAAAAAATAAATGAAATTTATTTGTTCTAAGTAAATACGAAATAAACCAATAAAAAATCAATTTTCTGTTGTACCTATAGAAGAAAATAAAGAATCAAACATTTCATTTCATTTCATTTCTTGAAGATTTAAATCACACATTGAGTAATTACCGGATGCATTTTTCAACTGTTTTTGGGTTTTCGATTGTCGCAGTCTGCGAAGAAATATGTTTTTGATCGCAACTCATGGTGAAACAGAAGTAAATTATTATTATTTAAATTATTTACGTACGTATCATCACATTCCATTCCATTTCGTATTTCAATGTTTTCTGATAAGTAACAGTTACCGTGTACGACTTTGTACGTATTTTGATGACCAATCCTATCATTTGCATGGCACTTTAAATTGAATTATAACATCATAAAAGGATCATAATAGGGGTGGGACACTCCACCCATGAAATCAGAATTTCGCAATACCGTTCATTTGTACGTCAACCGTACGAATTTCCGAGTTCTGTCGAATTAATATCCGAAAATACTAAAATCTGGATACAGGTCGGATTGCCGAGAAGTGCGCGTAACATGTGGATGTTCGTACGTACGCCACAGATTTCCAAGAACCGTGGCCGTGATCCTATAACCGTACGTGCTGTATTAACTCACGCGTGCTGACGGTCCGTCCAACTAGTACACCATTTTTCGGCGAATACGGAAAGCTACCTGTGTATTCGATTCCCTTGAAAACGGTTCATTTTCTGCGTTTAGCTCGCGAAATTATTTCGCACCGAAATTCCACGTAGCGCACGTACCGCAAATACATTTTGAACGGCATTCGTGTGCCCACGGGAAACAATTGGAATAAAACGTTAAAAAACAGACGAAATTCATTCGGGCAAACAATCGGTAAGACCCGATCTCGAGGTGAATATGATTACACGATGTACGATCCTAGTTTGAGTCCGCTTGATTTAAGCTCGTCTTCGCTCTCACCCATATACTTGCAGCCTTTTACCCGTCGCGAGTTCATTCCTTAAATTTGTTCTCTCCAAATTCGGATTACGGCCTATGAGATCCTCGGGATTCAGTGATCTATTGCTAATCGCTGCATAAGCCAAGAACTGTGATATAAAATATCTATCTAACATGGGATCGTGCATCATATTTATCGATCCGTATACTTTCGGCTCACACTTCGGGAAACAGCGGTATCGATGATTTTCAACCAGTGGTAATCAGATAAAATTTAATCCGAATAATCGCGTTAATAAGGCATCAAATATGAAATCAATAAATCTGTGATTATTGTTATGAGTGACACGAGAAAAATGTCGGAACTTTTGCTATGCACGGGCATGTGAAAAGGTTGATGACCAATGCACAGATATTAATAATATTACCACGTGCAATGACCGTACGTAGAACCTAGGGGAAGGGGGAACGTCCGGATGATAGATTTCGCGTTAAGAGAATAATTTTCTCAGACAATATTAATACAGACCGTATGAAATCATGTAACCCCTTAACACTTACGACTCCACACACCGTAATGCCACCCTTTCTGATACGTAATAACATCTTCATTTTTGGAATTCACAATATTATTATTTATTTTTATTGTTATATTTCTCATATTCCAGCAGCGGCTTGTGCTTCGATTCACTGGTGCAATCGTTACGTAAAGGGTGTTGTAAACGTTATATGTGAAAATAATTTAAATAATCTAAATTTCAATCAAATTATCGATTAATTTACCCATTTTCACATCGCGTTATCGTGATCTTGTGTCAAGCATTTCCGCGTTTGGTGTAACATTTCCACGGAGTACGCGAAAAACTCGTTTTTAACGTTCATATTTAAAATTTTATCGAGAACCGCGTCACGATCAAGCATTTTTTTATTGGAAATCTCATTGGCAATAAAACTATCATCACACATTTTCCTTTCCAACTTACACTTATGTTGACTGACGGGAAGAGTTTGATGTTGTTCACATATATTAATGGAACTGATGAAATTCTTATAATATTTGTGCGTTAAATTTACCTGTATATGCGTGTCTATTGCATTTTACGACTATAGTGTTATAAATAATTAGTAGGTAATATTGTTTTAGATTTTTGTTTTTTGTAGTACCCCTTTAAGTTTTAAAAATGTATTCGCACCTAAGCCTATATAGTCGTGTACCCAGGTGGCAACGTATTTTGTGAAAAACTCTTATAGTTCTAGTGGTGTCCTGCTGCTTTCCATTGACAATTTTTAATCTGTACATATATGAAAGGCTTTTAATACAAAACTATTTAATGAAATTATATTTGTGACGGTGACCTTTGTGTCTGTCCTTAAGAGACTCTCTTATCCGTAGGATATCGTTGGTTTATGTTTCAAAATAATTTTCCATAAATCTGTTGGTCAGTAATTATAAGGGTGATATGGTTAAAAGTAATCCGAATAGTTATCGGCAGTGACAGGTGTGTTCCCTCCTTTACATCATACACAAACTGTTTATTATACCATAGATTTTCTCGCTAACTGACCGGCGATAAATTCTATACTTGATATTAATTAATAACGAAGAACGAAAACCCCCGGAGTTATTAACACGCACAACACATCCCGTTATTATATAATTATTATAATGTGTTACAGAAATATTGAACCCAAAATTGTGGGCCTATGAAATATGTTATCGTTAACTTATATAATAAACAAAATTACCTGGACATTGGGAACATCTCATTTCGTCCGAATGATCTTCACAGTCAAAATGTCCGTCACATCTCCAATCCATTGGGATACATCTCTTCCTATCACATTTGAATCCTTCATGGCAAACTGAAAAAAAAAAAATCATATTTCAATATTATGAAATACATTAATAATTTCAAAATAGATTTTATTGGCCATTTTAAAAATTACATTAAATTCGCTAAGACATATCTTATAAAACCTATAGCGTTTATTTTTCATCGCTCCACTCACCAAATTATGTTATTATGTTATAAAAGCTGATGTCCGTAAGTTGAATGTCTCGATGTTATTTTTTAATGAATTTAATTTCTATTAAAGTAATAATAAATAAAAAACGAAATACAATTATGTAACAGAAACAACATTGAGAAAAAAATGTATACTTGTTTGAAGAAACATAAATTATGATGTTTCATAAAAATATTATACTTGAAATATGGCATAGCTCATACAACGGTGAATGTGAAAATCAGAAAATCTATTTCTGGTTGAAAAAAAATTAAAAGGAAATTAAAATTTCTGTACTGATAAAACTATTTATTAATTCACATATATTTTTATGAATTTCCTTGTGACCATTCATTCTGTTCTTGGACAATTTAATCCTTTTCTGATTTAATATTTTTCAGAAAAGGATCAAAATGTCTCACTTTAATTTTGTTTAAGTATTACAAAGTATCAAATTGTACACAGAAGGTTCAAAATATCTTAATTCGGAAAAAAGTTTGTGAAGCAACTAAAACGTCTATAACCTTCAGATCACACGTCAATCACAATTTCAAATTCAAAAAATGTCTTTAAAAAAAAAAAAAACAATAGTCAATATTTGTGATTAGTCACAATCATCTTATTCGCTTTGAATACTATATAAAAACAGTATAATATCCGCTTATGATTCCTACTTATGATGCACCAGTCTACCGCCCAAAAAAAGGTTTGTGATATAACAGAAAATAAAGGATATCTACCTATTTGTAAAACCCATGCGAATTATATTTTTGATAATAATAAGTCCCCTCAGGTCGGAACTAAATACGTGTTAATGAATATGTAACACGACTAATCATTTAAATTTATTTCAGAGCACTTAACAATGTTATGTATTCGTAAATTATACGATCGGAACATAATTTTGTCATATTATTGTGTATCGATAGTGTATTTTACGAATACTTTAAATCCCTTCGAATTGTATCTTCGGTTTCCATTCCACGCACTTGGGTAGTATGACGAATTGTGCCCACGCCAGGGACGCGCAAAATAATAATTAGACTTTAAAAGTATTTAGTGTTAATTTTTTTTTTTTTTTTTTTTTTAATCATATGCACTGTCAAACTAGGCGGATTTTGTTTTCAAATTCGATTGGACCAATGGTGAAATACTTCCTACGCTACTGCATATAAAGAGCCAAAAGCGAAAATGTAGCAATATCGATTCGGACCCGTTCCAAAGTCCAAAATGTGTTTTGATATGTTATTACAATATACGTCATATTTTAAGTGGAGGTACACGTGTGCCTTTTTGTACGTTTAGGCAATAAAATAATAATAATATGTGAAACGACACGAGGAGGCGATACCGTTATTACAGCGTATGTGTCATAAATTCCGCATGATTGTTTCCAATTGGTTAGCGTTGATACAAAATACGACACTGCAGCTCCGGTTGTATTAGAAAATGTATACTACTATTATAATAATACACATATTTTTATTTCCATTTTTTGTGTTTTGTTTCAATCGTATACTGTTATATAATATCGTGTTACATGTTATTAATTCTACGAACGATCGAATCGTCTGTTACTCATGGTCTACTTTCTGATAGAATAAAGTAAACGTGGTACAGAATACCTCATAAAGGTATATACGAACATCGTTAATACAATCTAATGGAGCTTAGTAAGTTACTACATGAAACGTAGCAGGTATAATCTAAGCGGCTGCAAGGTAAAATTTACGACACGATCAAAAATATACCAGTAGGTTCGTAAAAGTTCTGACAAAAAAAATATATCGGCAGGAGTATGAATACAAATTATGGAATTTTTTCTAAAATGTAATGCATTACTTATTGAACTGTATAAGCGAATGAAAAAATAGATAATGTATGGTTATTATTTTGTGTACCTGTAAGTATAAAATTGTAAAATATTCTAATTTTATATTATTATAATATTCGAATTAAGTATTTTATATTAATTTAATTATTGGATTAGATATTAAACTTTTTTTTTTATGAAACACAAAAACAAACAACCACACCTATTGCATTGCATGTTTTGAAATATGTGCATGATATAGTCAAAAATAAATTTTTACTTGTTATAATTTTTACTCGCGAAGGAATGTCCAAGATACATTAAATGTATTTTTTTCGCGTTGAAACTTACGTATTCATACTCGTAGGTGAATTCGCTATATCTCGTATAGAAATTTTCGTTCGCTCAATGTAATAATGTTCATATCTTCGTGAAACATCTAGTACACAGTGGGCCAAATCATCAATTTAGGTGGAGAAATTTTTTTTTTTTGAATTTTAACTTACTTTAAACATGTTGTTCATTAGGTAAAAATAATTAAAAATGAATATATACATTTATATGATTTAAATTAACAAAATTATTTTCTACACCGGATTCAATTATGTTTATACAAGACTTGTCTTGACTTAGTCTAGGTGCATATATAATAAAATACTTTATTTCATATTGCATATTTTTTAATAATTAAATAACAGCTATATAAGTAATATAAACTTAAAACTTTACAACAAAATTAATCTAACCCTTATATTTTTACTTTTCAGATTTATATAAGTAATAAGTTTAAATAATATTAATATGATAAATTGTACGAATTAAATCGAAAAAAAAAATAATAAATTCTTTGTACTTTATTATTAAAAAAAAAAAGAAGATATTTACATGTCTAGTTAATTTAATCTAAGTTTCCAAATTATAATAAACATTTAAATTCTGATCGTTATTGATAAAAATCGAATTATGTAATTATGTTTATAGAACAGTCACTTGAATCAAACTCTGAGTATTCACTACTACTACTTCTAAATTCTAAATCACTAGTATTATGCGTTTCTATATTATCACTTAATAAATTCATTAATTCAGAACATAATGTATTATTCTTCTTTTTGATATTTTGTGTACTTTTAGAAATAATGAGAGGGTCAAAGGAAATTAAAAACATGTGTAAGATTTCAGTACTGGTGTCTATTATTGAGGTTTTACGAATGTTTTGTAGCCTAAATCTTATATAATCCTTGTATCGTGCTCCTTGCGCTTCTCCGAATAAATTCCCGGTAGGAAAATAATCAAGTTGTATGGGTCTTGAACCGTGTACAAAAATCTAGGGATGCTTGGTAGTATTCCATACCAAGGATCCAATTGTAAATATAACTTTAAAGTATCTTTCTCATAATTGTCGTATTTTCAGATTTCACATTATAACTACACACTAAAATACTTAAAATAACTTTTAAACTAGAATAAGTATTTTATTTAACACAGTTAATCTTTGAAACATCTTGTGCGTGTTCAAAAAATCCCCTTCCTATATTACCAGTATTATTTGTATCATTGCTTGCTCAATTTTATCTACTTTTATTCTCAATTTTTGTCATAGACAGTTTTCTTTTTTTTTTTTTAATAACTATTTAATTTTTTTGCTCGACAATTGCCCTTTTGTTTAACTCTATTATTATTTTTTATAATATGCTATAAGAATCATGCACTTTAAACATTTTATCCATACATATAATAAGGATATTCCATATTGAAAATTATTATAATTGCATTTTAAACTATTTATGATCTCCAAGTTATTCACATCTTTAGGCTAACATTTACAAATATTGAAGGTTTGACTTGATGAATTATATAAACTGATGAAATGATGATCAATTAGTTACATAAAATATTATTTATTTTACCATCAACCGTAGTAAGATAGAAATGAAAATTTAAATTAAACTGAATTTGGTCCTCCAAAAGGTTTTGATTCATAATCATTATAAAAAAAGTGCATTTTGCTGATGTCCATTTTTTATTTAAAGAATTACAGTAGCCAGTTATTTTGTTTTCCAAAACCTTATTGTAGGTATTCATACATTATATCGCAGTTTGGTATTTTAGATTTTGCAAATTCGAATATAATTTTTTTGGATGCCCCAGTCAATGATTGTAAAATTTTACTATTATCTCGAAACACATTGAAAAATCGTCATTTTTAATGTAGTTTCTAAAAAAAAAAAACTTTTTGTTATATTATTAGCATTTTTTGGCAATTGAAAATTAATTCATATTCTCAAAGGTCTATTTAGGTATATGTCTGTAAACAAATTAGCCTGCCTCAACCCACTTTTTTTTGGAAAACTATAATTATACAACTATACACATAATACATTTTTATTTTATGTTAAATTATGGTATACAGAACTATAAATATAAGAAATTTATTTACATTTTGCTTACCTTTTACATTTATGATATTCATTTAAAAAAAAAAAAAACTAAGTGTCACAAATCGTAGAGTCTAGTTATTTTATATTTACTAATTTTCACAAAAAACGCAATCATAAATGATACGTAACCACTGTCTAGCCATTTATGAATTATATCAGACCAATACCTTATAATTATTGTTATCAAACGCTGATATTCTTATCATTTATAATATTAAGATATATTATTTTCAAACATTTATCAGTTTTTGTGCTACCGCAATTTAATTAGTTTTGTCCACCTAAATTACTTATTTGGCGCATTGTTCGGTATAGGTTTACTAGAAACGTGATGGGTTATCTAAGTAAATAAAAAATCCGGTTATGTTGATGTGAACAAATAATAGAAAATCGTCTATAGTGAAAAATATATTTCGTTTTTCCAATGGATTCTAAGACGGCTATAAGAGTTTTGGTCGAAACGTAACTCGTCTTTCGAGATGCCAGAATATTTGCAGTACCATTGTTGGAAAGGATAGTGAAGGCGACGGTACTCATTGATCGACTAATTTCGTTCAACTGACTACTGTCACTGGAGTATAACCCAAATGTTGCAGTTCTAT